TGTTGTTGAAGTACTAGTTATAAGTTTAAATTGATAAAGTTCATTTTGTTTTTGAGGTTGATGGGGTATTGCCGTAAGAAGGAAAGCGTTTTATCGCGAAACTTAGTGCGGTTTATATTATTTGTTCCAGGCATAAACGTTTTCTTATAGATTATCTTAAAGATAAAACTGTCCAATGAATTACGTAAATACAATAATAACGCAGGTGAAAGGATGTTATAAGTAAGTTAATAGCGGAAGCAAAACTCGAAATAGCATTTTTTTTTTTAATTTGAATTGCGTGGCAAGATGTTAACCTGCCGCCTTCAGCTGACGTATAGGTTTTGATGCTTATATGCGTTTATATTCCCTTTTGAAATTTCTTCCGTGGTAAAAAAGCAAGATTTCTAGAATTTTAATAAAGAAAAATTATACAGCATGATCGCAGTAACTTGACATGTGTATGGCACATTGTTTGCAGAGATATCTTGTCAAAATAAAAATTACCATTAGAAGCATTCAAACAGCTGATCCCTACTTAATTTGAATTGCGTGGCAAGATGTTAACCAGCCGCCTTCAGCTGACGTCTAGGTTTTGATGCTTATGTGCGTTTATATTCCCTTTTGAAAGTTCCTCCGTGGTAAAAAGGCAAGATCTCTAGAATTTTAATAAAGACAGATTATACAGCACGACCGCAGTAGCTTGACATGTGTATGGCACATCGTTTGCAGAGACATCTTGTCAAAATAAAAATTACCATTAAAAGCATTCAAACAGCTGATCCCTACTTGTCCCTAAATGAGGACAAGACAGGCAGTCTTCAAGAGAAAAAGGCCCATGGGTCTTTTCGCCAGAGATATGAACTATTCATCCTATGGGGTCTACAATATCTAACCTTTATAACTCCTTGCCGATGGTAAACTGTCAACAATTAACCCTCGAAATGACCCCTTCATCCCACGTGGTTTTCAATAACTAATCTTTATATTTTCTTGTCTTGAAGACAAGCAGTCTCTCAGAGAAAACTCAAAATCACACTCAATTCTTTATTTTTGAACATTTAGAAAAAGGACTATGAGTCTTTTCGACAGATATGAAGTATTTATCCCATGGCTCTTCAATATCTAATCTTCATTATTCCTTGCCGATGGTGACCTGTCAACAATTAACCGTCGAAATGACGCCTTCATCCCGCTTGGTTTTCTATACCTAATCTTTATATTCCCATGCCGATAGTGAGCCTATCGTTAAGTAATCGCTGAAACTTGTTTCGAATGTAATTCAATATATCGGGTTTGATGACGCTTTCATTTGAAAAGGTCTTGAATGAAAAACCAAATGAATTTTTCTCAGTTAGTGCTATGGAAGAAGAAACAAACAAAAACAGAAAAGATGGGATGAATCCTCTTTTCTTTTAGTCTACCCGGAAAATAAAAAAACTCTTTACTAGGATGCCATGTTAATGGCAAAGAAATACATTTTGAATATGGAATTTAAATTCCGTTTCGATAGCTTATATAAGAAACAAGAAAAAGGGGAAATCAGTAAAATTAATTGAAATATGAATTGCTTTGTTCCACGCGATAAAAGAAAAAACGGTTTGCCTCAAATTACACTGGTTATATGAGGTTAGTTGTTTATAATCTCCTCTCGCACGCCATTGAATTGCGAAAGGTGGTAAATGACCATTCTTTATGGTTATTATTATAAACTTATATTAGTCAATCGACCAATTGTTTTGTAATTTTCCGTGCCATCATAATCATAATCGGCATTATGTAAACATACTTTCTTGGTCGACTGCATGGGCTACAAAAAGAAAGAGTCTTTTTTGTTCGAAAATTTTCGTTGTCTTTTGTTATAATCGATCAAGTTTGTACTTGAGTGAATCAGGGACACTAATCTCCTGCTGAAGACATGTTTCGCTGACATCATTCGCTCGTTTACGAAATTTCTGTGTCAACACTAAACAGATGCATTTGCATAAAACTTCTGAGAGGGCTGTTTGCTGCTGACAAAGTTCTTTTTCGATGTTGTTGTTAAAGGTGTTAATTAGAAGCTTAAATTAATCAAATGTATTCTGCTGTTTGAATTGGCACGTGTAGCTTTTCTTTGCCGTTAGTAACTTTTCTCTACCATTTTTTCGTATCATCCACCTGTGCACTTGATACGCTTTTCCGTGTGGGGTGTGTCAATAAGGTAACATTATAGGCACCGTTAGTTTCACTATTAGTTAGCAAACCTATGCTTGCGCCAATTTTTTTTTTTTTTTACGTCTCTTTTTCGTAATGGAGGTCGATTGTGTATTGCCGCCAAGAAAGTGCTGCACTGATGCGAAACTCGGTGTAGCTTATATTATTTGTTCCAGGCATAAACGTTTTCTTATTGATTGTTTTAATGATAACGCCGTCCAATGAATTACGTGAATACGACATGAAGCAGGTGACAGGATGTTATAAGTAAGTTAATAGCGGAAGAAAGACTCGAAATGATAGCATTTTGTTCAATGTGAATTGCGTGGCAAGATGTTAATCGGCTGCTTTTAGCTGACATGTAGGTTTTGATGTTTATTTTCCTTTAAATTTCCTTTTGAAACTTCCTCCCTAATAAAGAGGGAAGATTTATAGAATTTTAAAAAAGGTAAATCATGTAGCATGATCGCAATAGCTTGAAATATGTATGGCACATTGTTTATAGAGATATCTTGTCAAAATAAAGATTACCAGTAAAAATCATTCAAATAGCTGATCCCTTCTTGCGAAGCGTTCAAGCACACTAACTATTTTTTTAATTAAAAGTACCATTTTTTCATGTCCCATTAGTTGATGTCTCATCCTCCTTCCTTCCTAAAAAAAAAAAATCAGTGCCAAATGGCTGATTCATTTACTCCCGGTAACATCAAGAGTCATAAAGCCATGTTACCTCAACTTTGACCAAATTGAAAAATTACACCAATGATTAAAAATTCATAATTATCAAGCAAGCCACAAAAGCTAAGGCAACTGACGAGTGATATTTGATAACTGGTAAATTCTAGGGAGTTCGGTTTTCACAGCTATCTGCATACTCATGATGAAAAACACTGCGGGCAGAAATGTAAGTCATTATTTTCCAGAATCATTTTTTCCAAGAAGCAGAAGACGACAGGCAGGTAAACATAACAAATAAATGATATGCACCAACACAGTTGCAAGTCTTATTGTATACGTAGTACTGTATGAAAAGTGAAAAGCAACAAAGTTTGCTAAGACAGATAGAAAAACAGTATCCATACCGTACTGAACTTGTCCTCGTGCTGAATGCATCGTTATGAGAGTGGATCCATAATATACATGATGCTTTGTACACGAGCGAAAAAAAATTTAAATACTGTGTAATTTCTCGCTAACCTCAAACCACGACAAATGATACTATATCACAACTCATGTTAAGTACTCTGTAGCTCAATTTTGTTCATTATGTGACTGGGTATTTTAACTCTCACGAGACGGCTGCTGGGTTTTGGATATAATTTTCGCACGTTTTGCAAAGCACAATTTCCCAGCCCTTTCGATAAAATTATATTGCCAGTCACAGTCCCAGTTCAGTAATACTATAATAACACACATGACTTGCACAATTATTAAACATCTCAATTTTTTTCCAGATCTCCCTTCGTTTTGCGATTTTTTTTTTTTTTTGCGCTTTCCATTTGAGAAGCTGTTACCAGAGTTTAGGGAGAGCTGACAACTTGATGTTTGTGTACTGGCTTTAAAAGTTTTCTCCAGCCTGTAGGAAAACCTACTCCAGGTTTCACAGTACTCGCGTTTTTGGAAATAAAATGGAACTCCCTAGAGTCTCGATCTCTCCTAGCGTTCCATG